AACAACACCTTGTTCCCCCAAGGCTCCAGCAAAGACACCATCCTGCTGACACCATGACTTTGGCTCAGTCTAAACCAATCGCAGACTTTTGGTCTCCAAAACTGCAGGAGAATGAATTTGGATTGTTTTAAGCAGTTTTCAGTTTATGTTAATTTGTTACAGCAGCTATCACAAATAAAGTCCTTCATTCAGTTTCTAGCCCCTCCAAGTATTAAAATGGCCCCAATAAAATTATCTCTGGCATAAAGAAATAATTCACTTCTATACTTTGGTGGGTATGCTGAGGGGCTGAGGGAGAGAGCTGATAGAGATCCCCCTTCCAAAGAATATCTTTATCTGATCACAACAAGTGTTTACTGTAGGAAAATTCCATTATAAATCTTACCAAAAAATTAAAAAAATAAAAGTCATAAACCCAGAAATAACCAACCACTGTTAATATTTTGGTGTCAAAATTTGTGTTTTTGTTTCCCCCAAACAAAAATCACTTCTTACTAAAGCCTCAAGCATTCCCTTTGAAGCCATTATTACCACCATCAGTGACAACATGCCAGATAATTAAAACCAACCACTGTGCTGCTCCAGAGACACAGTGGCCCCTGGGTCTCCTTAAATCACAGCCATAGCCAGCAAAATGAACGACATGCACTTGGCTCGACTCCAAGGAGAGGAAGATGAAGACCATCCATTCATCTTGCTGCTGCTTCTGAGCTTCATCATTAATCTCAAACATAATGGGGACAACTGTCTGTCACGTATCATCAGGATCTGCACCTGTCAAACATTCTCCCTTAGCCCACTGGGGGCCATTGCACCGAAGGATACTCACCCAACCCTCCAGGCTCCTCATCTGGATTGGAGGGGAGGTATCAAATGCACCTGTCACTCAAGCACACACTATGTCCTGAATATACCAGACTTCCAGTGTGTTTTGGGACCTTGGATCTAAAACAATGAGCATGGTACTCACCTTTTTGCAAACAGCTCCAGATAACAGGGAGCTGGAGCTGTTTGCAAAACCAAGCAAGCAATCAGAGCAACACGGATCATAACAGGGGAAATATTTAACTTTGTTACAAAAAAGAAGTTCAGGGGCTAGAGAGGGAGCTCAGAGGCAGAGCATGTGCTTAGCAGGACAAGGCCCTGGGTTCAATCCACAGCACCCACCAAAAATGAAATTCAGAAAGCACTACGCATATCATTCTTCACAGAACGGTCCCAAGCTAGGCTGGCAGGAGCCAGAGCCATGCTGTGTTTTCAGATGGAGTCGTGTTCGAGTGAGAAAACCCCTAGCATTCCTTCAGCCTTAAATTTAACTTTCTCACATACAAATTGCTGAACAGATCATCAACAAGGAGAGGTCAGTAGGAACTCGGTGACTAGCTGACTTTTAGTTCCCCTCGGAGGCAGAAAAGAGGCTGGCTTCCTAATGCCCTGGGGTCTCTGGAAGGCATACCCTCGAGTCTGGGCCACACTGTGGCAGACACGCCAGAGGCACGGTGCTCAGAGGCTCCCATCTGGGGTTGCTTTCAGAGAGAATGGGGTGCTTCCCCAACGCCATTTCCCAACAGACTCCAGCAAGTGTCGGAGCCCGTGGCCAGGGCTGCGCACAAGCCGAGGCTGGGGAGCGGCTTGCAAGGAGGCAGGAGCAGGGTCCCAGGCTGTTGGGGGCTGGCATCTGGCTTCCATGCTCTGCCAGCAGGTGTGTGCCCGATGACCTCTGTTCATCTTCACCTGAATCAC